GTGTGGCATCTTAACTAACCTATTCACGATTCACAAAAGCAACAAAAATTCTAAGGTACCAGGAATAATTCAAACAAAAGCTATGCAAGAGCCTAATCAAGAAACTTCAGTCAATTTACTGAAGGTCGTAAAAGTGGTCCTAAATAAGTATCATGGTTAAAAATAGAAAAGTCAGTATGGTAAAGATGTCAGTTTTTCCCAATAATATTTATAAAATTAATATAATTCCAATCACAATTCCCCAAAGGTTTTTCATTCAACGTGTCAAGCCAATCTTCAAATTTATTTAAAACGAAAGATGAAAAAAGTGAGAGGAGAAAAAAAGACATGAATAGTAAGCTACAATTTATCTAAGAGGAGTGGAGTGAACATACACACAAAAACATATTTGCTTATATAAAAAAAGGAATATAACCTCCCAAAACTAAAAAAATTTAAAAAGTTACTAATAGAAGTAGAGAAGGAACGAGGTGATAGAGATACAATAGAATAAAAACAAGACTTCTCTATGTTTTATGTATTTGTTTTATATATACTTTAATATACTTTGTGTTATACAGTTGACTTTGCAACCATCTAAATGTTTTACATAATTATAAAACAAAATAAAAATAATGTGAAAACAAAAGCTATACCTAAAAATCAAAATCAAAATAAAACAAATGAACCTAATCACACATCATCATGTTTGTGGCATAACCACACAGAGAAATTAGTTCTTGTTACTTTAAAGCACAATAATTAGACTGTAATTTCCTAGAAGGATATATCCTAAAGACAAATAGATCTATAAAAAATGGAAAATTATTTGACCAGGAATATTGTAAATATTGATAATATTACTCTGAAACTATCTTATTTACATATCTTAGAAGAGATGTGTTAAAATACTCAGAGCTATCTTGGAGAGAGAGCCAAAGATGGGAATATTTGAGCTTCAAAAAGAAACTGTGGGGTAGCTCCATAGTGTAGTGGTTAGTACATCTGCTTTACACGCAGAAGGTCCTAGGTTCGCACCCCAGGTGGAGCCACAGACCATACCCTGGGTACACCAGGTCCCCCGAGTGCGCCAGGGGTGCCAGGCCCCGGGGTGTGCCAGGCCCTGAGTGCACAGCACAAGCTTGTGGGAAGAGACGCCCTGCCTTCAGAGATTCAGTTCGTAAGGGGAAAACGGCAACATCCATAGTTCAGGGGTGGAAGTGTGTGTGTGTGGGAGGGGTGGCGGGATTAAAGGGGAAAAATAAATAAATAAAAATAAAAGGATTTATTTTAGGATTAAAAAAAAAAGAAACTAACTGCAATGGTTTGAAACATCAAAATCAAATGTGTTAAGTCTGTGCATATATAAGAGTATTAATAATAATGATAACAATCCATTGGGAGATGCTAGGGAACCAATTCAAAAGCCTAAAAACCTAAAGGAAAGAATCAATTTATCCTGCCTTTCCTGTACGAACTGTACCTCAAGGTAACCACAGTTGATAAAGTAAATTTTTTCTTTAGAAAAACCCCCAGATAGTAAATGAAGAAGGAATGATAGAATTCAAATATCACCATTTTGTAACTGTTACTGAAATATAGCTAATAGTTACCCATGTTTTCTAAAACCAGGATGATGGTAAAAAGAGGAATTGTTCTATTTTAAAAACGTTTGACAACTAAAGGGAAAAATATCTTTCTCTCTCTTCACCTTACTTCCTCTAGTATTTCAACCAAACGATCTTTCAACCCCACCAGGAATTTCCATTCCTTTATTCTACCAATTTTTTACTGTCCCTCACCTTCCTAATCTCATTTTTCTACTACCTGGCCTAAAATTCAGTCAATTAATATAATTAATTCTTGTCAACTTAGACTCCCTTGTCTCTCTCTCACATTATTCCTACTTACTTCATGAAACCAATACTTTGGTTAAATCCAACTCTCTCCCTATCCTGTCTGTGGCTATGACTATGAAGATGAACACTACAAGAGAAAAATTTTAAAACCATGTGGAATAGGCTTACTTTATAGTCATGAATACTAACATCAAGTGAGTCTTCAATGATGCCTGGAAATTACATTTCTCTACTCTAGTCTCTATTCCATTCTCCTAAGTGATTATTTTATTCTTTTCCTCTGTCCTCAAATCCTTAACATTTGCTCTTGCTACTTAAGGACATGCCTACAGTATTTCTCCTCTTTCTCTCCTGCGTCATCGTTTCTCTACTGAATCATTTCAATCAGTATGTAAACAAAGTTATTACATACCTCTTAACTCCATCTACCACTCCATTTCGCTCTTTCCATTTACAAAAAAACTTAAGAGTTTTGTCCATACTGGTATCTCCTATTTTTCTTCTCCAGTTCTCTCTGGCCCCATACTCCAGTGAAACTGCTCTTCAGAGTCACCAGACTTCCATGTTGCTAAATTCAATATTCCTTTCTCAATCATTTTACTTGACCTATCAACAGCATCTGACATGGTCCTCATTAAAACACATTCTTTCCTTGGATTCCAAGATATCGTACTCATCTAGTTTCCTTCTGGAACCATTCTAGCTTGCTCCTTTCAGTCTCTTGTGCTGATTCCTCTTGATTTTCCAGACTTTGTAATGTTGGAGTGACCCAGAGATAAGCCCTCTACTTCTACCTTTTTCTATCTATCCTACCCTCTAAGTGACTTCAGTCTTTTGGCCTTATATATATCATCTATATACAGATAATTCCAAAATGTCTGCCTCCAGATATCTTACTACCAAGTTATTATCTCCACTTGAATGTCTAATGGGTATCTCACACTTCACATAATATATTCTAAACTGAAATCTCACTATCTCCCTAAGTCCAAAGTCAGTTTTTCCTTCTTTCTTTTCCTTTTCAGTTAATGATAACTCTATCTTCAAGTTCCTCAGATGAAAAAATATTATGTTATCTTGTCACAATTACACTCTACATAGCTTTGTCAACAAGCAAATTACAACAGCTCTACTTTTAAAGTATATCCAGTACATGACTATTTCTCATCATTTTTACCACTCTGGTTCACAACATCTTTTCCCTAGATTATCGCAATAGTTTCCTAATTGGTCTCTCTGCTTCTGCCCTTGTCCCCACTCCCTTCCCCCATTCTTCTCCCTGTAGTCCTCTCATCAAAGTTGCCAAAGCAATCATCTTATATTATATGCAGATATCACTCCCATTCTCCAAACTCTCCAATAGCTTCCTATCTTATTCAGAGTAAAAGCCAAGATCATTAATATGGCCATAAGGCCCAGTCTGATCTACCCTCCTTTCCTCCAGTTACCATTCTTCTCTCCTCTCTTCTGTTTGCTCTATTTTAGCCATGCCAGCCTCTTCATTGTGACTGCTGGGGCCTTTATAACTGTTGTTCCCTCTGCCAGGAATAACCTTCCCTCAATTATGTGAGTAACTAGCTCATTTACTTCCTTCATATCCCTGTTATAACCTTTTCAGGATACCTTCCTTAGCTATCCCATCTAAAACTCCTACTCTTACTACTCCTAATTCTATTTATCTTCTTGCTTTATTTTTTCTCAGTATTTTACACTATTTAATGTATATTTAACTCACCTCATTTACTATCTGGCCCACCACAATGTAAGTACCACGATAGCGGGGAATTTGTCTCTTTTGCTCAACTCTATATCCCAAGCATCTAGACTGTTCCTGACACACAGATTGCATTCAGTAAATGGTGAGTGAATGAATGAATCATTAATATATTAAGAACTCTGGAAAAGAAATTTGAAAATAGAGTGATGCTTTAGAAAAATACTTTAGAAAACACATAATTTACAAAACGATTCTAAAATGCTTGACTTCATCGCTTCTCAGCTTTTTGGCTAAGATCAAGTGTAAAATGCTTGACTTCAGTAGTAATCAAACAACTGCAAATTGAAGAAATTATTTTACACCTAGGGGAGTTAACAAAGATTACTAATGTTAATGATATCCATTGCTATCAAGAGTATGAATACAGGCAATATCATAGTATGCGAATAATACTGTAGGTTATTGGAAACTTACAGGAAAATAATTGGATAGATTTAGGGAGCCATTAATAAGTGCGTACATTTTGATCCAAAGGAGCCTGCCCCACCCCCACAACCCCAAAATTAGGAAAGTGCACTATGACATGTGCCAAATAGTTGCTGCTAAACACCATTTTTACTACTGTGGTCCCGAGTAATGGCAAGAAGTTGAAAATCCAGTTAATTACCCATCGACAGGGATAAATGCATTAAATTGTATACTATGAAAAATTTTAAAATGATGACACAGATTTGTAATTAAATGGAAAGATTTTGTTTCTTAAATGACACTGGTAGGTTACAGACGGTATAATGTGACAGCAATTTTAAAGCTATTATGCACATATACAATAATATATAAACTCATTTATACGTATGTATTCACAGAGGGAGGATGAAAAAAATGGTAAGTTAATTTTGACAATGGCTGATAGAATTATGAATAATTCTTGTTTTTGTTTTTTTAGATGTTTTGCGATTTGGGGCGGGGAGCAGGGGGCAAGAATAATTAAGTTGGTATGCACACAAAACAACATTGCTAATACACGAAGATAAAATCTAAAATAAATACTAAATAAAGTGTTTGATTACTGACGTCTCGTATAAAAACATTTTCTATCATAACCGAAGAAATGAAGCACTGTTTCAGTCTCATAAATCACACACACAATCGTACTCTACCTTCCATACGCTGAGTTTCTCAGTCACGATCCCACCAGTCACGCACGCTCGCACGCACGTTCATACTGAAATATAAGAAAAGCAAAGCCATAAAATCTGCTTATATACACAACCCCACGGCCACACTCAGTCACAATTATCTGGCAAACACCGTAACATTACGCCACACTCTCAGTCTTTCACACGCCACTCCCACGGCCTCAGGGAACCACTCGCACCGGCTCAGCCTTGCCCAGCATCCTCCTCCAACAACGCCGGCTGGCGTCCGCAGGCCCCTACTCACACCCATCACAAAGAGTCCCGGACTCGGACCTCGCGGCTTCCCGAGGACTCACCACCGAGCCCGCGGACACAGGCCCCACACATCGACGCCCCTAAGTGGCACAGCGGGTGCGAGCTGAGGTGGGGGTCCGCCGCCTGTGGCTGAGCTCCGCACGAACCCTGGGCCGTTAGGCGCAGGACAACACTTCCCAGAGGCCCCCGCGGCTCACCCCGGCGGGACTGGCCTTCCTGTTTGCGAGTAGTGGGACTAACCAGCCGCGGCGTCCCAGGGCGCTCAGATCTGCCGGGGAGGCTCAGGTGAAGGTTTTACGGAAGCGGCTTCCCTTGAGCCCGGCACTTGGAGTCTGGGAATGGAGCTTGGGGATGAGAAGAATCCGAAAAGGTCTGCAGCTTTCCTGCACCGGACTACATTTCCCAGAGGCCTTCGCAGCCTGAGTCTATTTCTGCAAAAGTCACTTTCTCGATACAGTTGGCTGGAACTTCGGAATCCTGGGGTTATAGTGCCTGGTCCATGAAGGAAACACCGCTCAGTCGGTTTGGTTCCGTCGGGTTAGGGCTCCACCCGGGGCTGGACTACAGCGGGATGAAACTGAGGTGGGGTAGGGGCGGGGAATCAAGCCCGTTGACGGGACGAGACCAGCCAGCCTGAGCTTCGAGCTGGTGGCGGCAGTCAGGAAAGGGAGGAGTTACTTTGTGTGACCGTATGTGGGAGATTTTGGGGTAGGGAGTCTATGAGGTCCAATGACTTTTGAGGTCGTGCGAATTTACGACCATTTGTGCGACCATGGTCGCGTCGTATATCCTTGTGACCGTTTGATTTTGATCCTGCACTTTTGTCAGAGACAGTGTGTGTGCTTGTGTCAATTCTTGTTTCTGATTTTCTGACTGCTTCTGTTACAATATGGAAACTTCTGAGGTTAAGTCAATAAACCAGTCACTAAAATATTAAATGGGAGAAATTATAGAGATTTGTGAGTCTGTATTAATAAAACACCCATGCTTTTTTACACTGTTATATGGACAAAGGCGATACAGGAAATTTGGAAAGACATTGTTGAGGACGGCAAAAACATTGAGCCATCAAATGAAAATTCGTGTCAAGAATCCATAGCCTCAGCCAGAGGAATGAGGGGCATAAGTGGGATACTAGAGAAGTAATCAAGAACAAAAATCTAAGAATCTAGCAAACCTGACTATATGTCACTCCTGCCTTAAAGACCTGATTCTGTTTTCAGCATTTCATATGGGTTGCACTCTGACTTCAGAATAATCAAAAAACAATTGACAATGAAAGTTGAAGACTCAATGGAATAATTTTTCATTAGACACTAAAATGGAGAAAATATCTATGAAAACAGTAAGCCATACTTTTATGCTATGATATGTTGGCAAAGAGGACAAAATGCTGGAGACTACAGCATGCTAAATATTGGAAACATGTAGTCCTTGAAAGTATCAGAGAGGCTTCTGGCTCATAAGCTTACCATGCAGCTATTCGAAACCCAAAGGACTATATCATCTCTAGGATGCAGTAGCAAATAGTCTTCTTTTCACTAGACGATAACGGGCACTGTTTCAGTATGAATCTATGTCTGGGAAGGGACAGGGGACCCCCGTCAAACACTATGTAGAGAGACACATGTCCTCTAAATAAGTTTTGCTTATTTGTCTCATGTGTCTTTACCAACAGTAATTTTTTTTCTGTCTACTATAAGAATTGCTTTTTGCTAATTGTTTGGTTAAAAAAAGAGAAAAGAACAGAGTTGGCTGTTTTATGTCCTTCCAGCTTCCTGATCTCGATTTTTTTTACCGGTGGGTTTGTTTATTTCTCCTTTTATTTCTGTTAAGCTTTGCTTTATATATTTTAAAACTCTCTTATTAGATGACACACATTTAGTGTTCTGATAGTTTCCTGTACTTGACAAGAAATTTTGAAATTTACCCTTTATAATATTGCTCTTTTTCTTGGTCTATTTTGATATTATAGCTTCATCATCCTTTTGGCTAGTGTATGGTTTACCTCTTTCTACCCTTTTACTTTTAATCTTTCTGTTTTATTTTTTTAAAGTGTCTCTTATCAAACAGCATCACTTTAAAAATGACAATCTTACTCTTTAATCTGATATATTTTGTAAATTTACATTTAATATATTTGGATTTTGGTGTACCACCTTAGAATTTCTTTTCTTTTTGGAATAGCTTTTTAAAACATTTAACTATTTATTTTGAAGTAATTCTAGATTTGTGTACAATTTTAAGAAATCTCATGTACCCCTTATCCATTTTCCCCCAATGGTAACATCTTGCAAAACTACAGATAATATCACAACCTGGATATTAACATTGATACAGTCACAATTTAGAATATTTCCATCATCACAAGGATTCTTTATGTTGTTCTTTTATAGCCACACACACTTCCCTCCTCACCCCACTCCCCAACACACTCTATAAGGCCTGGAAACCCTAATCTGTTCTCCATTTCTGTTAATTTTACTTTTCAAGAATATTATGCAAATGGAATCATGCAGTTTATAATTTTGGTATTGGCTTTTTCACTCAGCCAAATTCCCTGACGGTTCATACATGTTGTTATATGTATAAATAATTCATTCCTTTTTATTCCATGTTGTTATATGTATAAATAATTCATTCCTTTTTATTCCATGCCACAGTATGTTTAGTCAGTCACTCATTGAAGAACACATAGGTGGTTTCTAACTTTTAGCTGTTACAACTAAAACAGCTATATACATTCATGTAGTTTTTGTGTGTGTGTGTGAACATAAATTTTAATTTCTTTTGGGTGAACACCTAGGAGAATTTTAGAAGGAATTTGTCAATTTATACCCCACAAAAAATCTATCTGGAATTTTTATTGAGGTTGTGTTGAGTATATAAATCAATTTGGGGAGAACTGACATCTTTTATTATTTTAAATATTTATTTTCCAATTAGAGTTGGCATTGAATATTATATTTGTTTCATGTGGACAACATAGCGATTAGACATTTATATAACTTACAAAATGAGCACCCTGATAAGCTAATACCCATCTGACACCATACATAGATGTTACAATATTATTCACTATATTCTTTATGCTATACTTTACAAACCTATGATTACTTTGTGACTACTGATTTGTGCTTCTTAATCCCTTCCATTTTTTCAACCATCCCCTCAATGCCCCGCCCATCTGGCAATCCTCAAAATGTTCTCCATATCTATGAGTTTGTTTCTGTTTTGTTTATTTTGTCCATTAGATTCCACATTTAAGGGATATCATACAGCATTTATCTTTGTCTGATTTACTCCATTGGCACAGTACCCTAAAGGACCACACATGTTGTTGCAGATGGCAAGATTTCATTCTTTTTTAAACTTTTTTTTTATGGCTGAGTAATATTTCATTGTATATATGTACCATCTCTTCTTTATCCATTCATCCACTGATGGACACTCAGGTTGCCTCCATATCTTGACTATTTAAATAACGCTGCAATGAACATATGGATACACACATCCCTTCAAAGAAGTATTTTGGATTTCTTTGGCTAAATACCCAGAGGTGGAATTTCTGGGTCCTTCTTTGTCTCTTGTTATAGTGCTTGTTTTAAAGTTTATTTTGTCTGGTATAAGTATTGCTACCCCAGATTTTTTTTTTTCATTTTCATTTTCGTGAAATATCTTTACCATCCTTTACTTTCAGTCTGTGTGTGTCTGTAAACCTGAGGTGAGTCTCTTGCAGGCAGCATATGTAAGGGTTTTGTTTTCTTATCCATTCAGCCACAAATGATTGGAGCATTTAATCCATTTGTATTTAAAGTAATTGTTGATAGATACATAGTTATTGCCATTTTATTATTCCTATTTTTTATCTTTTTTTTTCTTCTTAAAGAAATCCTTTTAACATTTCTTGTAATACTGGTTTGGTGTTGATGAACTCCTTTAATCTTTTCTTGTCTGGGAAGCTCTGTATCTGTCATTCAATTCTAAATGATAGCTTTGCTGGGTAGAATAATCTTGGTTGTGGGTTTTTACTTTTCATCACTTTGAGTATTTCATACCACTCTTTTCTGGCCTGCAAAGTTTCTGTTGAGAAATCAGCTGACAGTCTTATGGGAGATCCCTTGTAGGTAAGTAACTGTGTTTTTTGTTTGTTTGTTTTGCTACTTTTAAGATTCTCTCTTTGTCTTTAACCATTGGCATTCTAATTATGATGTGTCTTGATGTAGACCTCTTTGGTTTCACCTTGTTTTGGACTCTCTGTGTTTCTGTGTTTGTATGTCTATTTTCTTTGTCAGATTAGGGAAGTTTTCCATCATTATTTCTTCAAATAGGTTTTCAATTCCTTGCTGTCTTTTCTCTTGGTATCCCTGTGATGTGATTGTTGGTATGCTTGCTATTATCCCGGAAGCCCCTTAAACTATCCTCATTTTTAAAAATTTCTTTTTGTTGTTGCTATTCTGATTAGGCGTTTATGCTACCTTATCTTCCAAATCGCTGATTCGATTCTCTACTTCATCTAATCTACTGTCGATTCCCTCTAATGTATTCTTCATTTCATTTCAGTTATTGTATTCCTCATTTCTGACTGGTTCTTTTTTATGTTTTCTATCTCCATTTTTATGCTTTCTATCTTTTTATTAAAGTTCTCACTGAGTTCCTCTACTCTTCCCCTAAGTTCTTTGAGTATCCTTATAACCAATGTTTTGAATTCTGCATCTGGTAGATTGTTTGTCTCCCTTTTGTTGAGTTCTCTTTCAAATGGAGCTTTAGTCTGTTTTTTCATGTGGGACATGTTTCTTTGTCTCACCATTTTGGCTGCCTCCCTGTGTTTGTTTCCATGTATTAGGTGAGGCTGCTATGTCTCTCAGTCTTAGTACAGTGGCCTTATTTAGTAGGTGTCCTGTGGGGCCCAGTGGTGCAGTCTTCTCTGATCACCTGAGCCGGGTGCTCCAGGTGTGTCCCTCGTATGGGTTATGTGTGCCTTCCTGTTGTAGTTGAGCCTTGGTTGCTGTTTGCTCATCGATGGGGGGGATTGATCCTCAGACTGATTG